CCAAAAACCCAAAAAAAAGCCTTTTTAAAAAAAAAAAAAAAAAAAAAAAAAAAAAAACTAAAATACAAAACAGAATTAGTATGCCAGAGGCAACTTAATGTCTGCTAATAAAAGTCATAAAAATTCATACTAATGAATATAAGGGGAAAGCCCTAGGCAGAATAAGTTAAATCAAGAAAATAGGAAACAAAATTGGTTCATCTATACAGACAGGTTCAAAGCCTGCCCCCTTAACATTGTGGCAGTCAAGTATATCTTCATTGCAAAGGAATGACTATAAGAAAGGCATTCTTGAGTACTAAAATTCCAAATTTAAACAAGGAAGCACCAACAGTGTCACAATTGGCACGATTTGTCTTATATATAGTAAAATTTTAATTTACTACCATACCTATAAACCATCTACATACATACATGTCAGAGTGTCTAATAAACCCCTAAATAGAGTATCAAAAGCAAACTAGAGTCGAGAGTTTAGAAACTTTTCCAGACCAGATGAAAAGTATATTACAGTTCATATGCAGCTGAGTTCTAACCGAGTAGCTCATTTCTGACAAACCTAGTGCTTTGATGGAAACTTCATCAAGCTTGTGGTCTCCGGCTGCTCCAGGTCTAATGAACGCTATCCCTCCTTTACAGTAATTAAGTAAGGATTCGGGGAAAGAACTAAGCGAAGGAAGGGACCCTTTCACTCGAATCTGAAAAGAATGATAGAATATATTAGTCATCAGTAGCAAACAAGCTTTACAGCAAACTGCAAGGCAAGATAGTCAAGAAAACCCACACAGCACATAAGCAGCAAAGGTCCTCTGCTACAGCATAAGCAGCCTGCAGTGAGCTGCACTCTCAAAGACTCACAGATCTAATTCAACATCCATTTACCACATTGTGTCTGAAAAGTAAAGGGCGCTAAACCATTTGCATTATTTTGTCACTCATATCTCCTATAGTTATCTGTCTTTCCCTACAGTCCTAAGCAAGAAAATATTAAATCTCATCTGAAATGAACTGTGCAGTACCAAAACCAAACAAACAAAAAACCTTCTCACACTGGGCAGTGGTGGCAAATGTCTTTAATCCCAGCACTTGGAATCAGAGGCAAGCGAATCTCTCAGAGTTTGAGGCCATCCTAGCCTACAAAAAGTGAGTTTCAGGACAGTCAGGACTATACAGAGAAACCCTGTCTCAAACAAACAAGCAACGCCCCCCCAAAAAAAACCAAAACAAACAAAAACCTTACTTATATATATAACTTTTAAAAAGTGAATCTATAAATGACAGAAATGGAAAGTCATCAATAGGCAAGTCCTAAAAAGCAATGACTCTAGGAAAGGACTATTGATAAAACGTCAAGAAGTTGATGGGTTGATGGGGAACTTGATACAGGGTCTGACATGACCCACATTCCTTGAGCTAGTTCACTTTTAAAACTGTGGGGCCTCAGCGAAGTACACAGTAGTTCCAAAGGAGTCTTTTGAAGAAGATCTGAGCCTGAATCTACTCAAACCTCTGTATATCAGTGGAATGAACAAGCTAAATGGCATTAAATGAAGACATGATCACAAATGTAGTAGATAGTACAGAACAATCACACTGCTTCTCTAACAGCAAGGGCTTTTTATTTTTAAAGGGGGTACTGTTATAGATACCAAGAGAAAAGTTGAGCAGTAAATTTACAGCATCCTTCTACCTGTCACTTCAAGAAAGAGGGGATCTAATCAAATGCTCTGTAAGCACACTAAAGGCAGCCCCTCCAACAAACACTTTATCAGCAGGATAGTTCTAAGAAATAGACCCAGCAAGGAAATGGGAGCCTCAGTCCTACGGCCACATGAACAGAACTGTCAACAACTTGAATGAGTCTGGAAATGGGTTCTCCCATCAAGACATTGAAAGGCAGCACAACTCTGCTGTTACCCTTGAGTGCTTTGAGATAGAACCAGCTTGGTTTGCAGGACTTCTGGTGCACAAAAACAGTGAGATAAGTGGACAAAGTATTAAGTCACAAAATTTTGGCAATTTGATAAAATGAAATAGAAAACTAATATGGTGCAGATACTTAATTTGGTATCATTTTTTAATGGAATTAAAATTTAAAAAGCTAAAAAAATTAAAAAGTTTTATAAAGTTCATCTTTATAAGTGATGGCTACCTGGTTTTGCTATATTCAGTTAGTCAACCATAAATAATAACTGTCTAATTCAGGAACTTTTTCATCAACACCACATTCCCCCGCCTCCATACACACACACACACACACACACACACACACACACACACACACTCTCTCTCTCTCTCTCTCTCTCTCTCTCTCTCTTTCTCTCTCTCTCTCTCTCTCTCTCTCTTTCCCACTTCTCCAGACATTGGAAACCACTGTCTACTTTCTGTCTCCATTGTAATGACAATGAACAAAATGAACAAACTTTAACATACTTTTTTTTGAAGGTCTCCATTTTTTTATTTTTTATGTACAAAGACTAGCATGATCTGTTTCACTGGGTAGACAGTCATGAATAATCCATTCAAGGTTGCTCAGTCCAACTTAATGAAGCCTATGTTCTTCACAATACTGATGGAAGCACTGACGGCACATGTTCAGCCCGTATTTTCGGATCAGACCGTGGGGGGTTTGAGCAGACTCAGCAAGAGCAAGAGCCCTGGCCGAACTTCCGCGGGTGATTCCAGTAAGCTGCTGGTGACTCATCTTGCCTTCAATCAGGCAGAGAGGAAAAAAGTTTAACATACTTTTATGGGAGGTGAATTTTTAAACCTCATTTTTCTCTTTAGAAAGCTTGTTTGAGGCTGGAGAGATGGCTCAGAAGTTAAGAACACTGGCTGCTCTTTCAGAGGTCCTGAATTCAATTCCCAGCAACCACATGGTGGCTCACAACCATCTATAATGAGATCTGGCAACCTCTTCTGGAATGCAAGTATACATGGTAGAAGACTGTATACATAATAAATAAATCTTAAAAAAAAAAAAAGCTTGTTTGGCCAGGCATCATGGTGAACATCTTTAAATCTTGGTGCTCACGCAGGCATTGGTGGCACACGCCTTTAATCCCAGCACTCGGGAGGCAGAGGCAGGTAGATCTCTGAGTTCAAGACCAGCCTGGTCTACAAGAGCTATTTCCAGGACAGGCTCCAAAGTCACAGAGAAACCCTGTCTGGGGGTTGGGGCGGAATCTCAGTGCTCAGGAAGCAGAAGTAGTGGATCTCTCTGAGTTGGAGGATAGTCTGGTCTACATAGTAAGTACCATTTCAGTCAGGGCTGTACAGTGAAAATATGTCAAACAAATAAAAGCTAATTTGAGGCTAAGGAAATGGCTCAATTGATAAAGTGCTTGCCATGCTACTGACAGGACCTGAATTCGTTATCTCCAGGATCCACAATAAGCAGGACATAGCATGAATTTGTAATCCCAGTGCTCTAAGGGCAAGAGAATTGCTGGAAGCTTGTGAGCCAGCTAGCCTGGCATGTGCAATAGCAAATTGTCACAAATAAGGAGGAAGATGAGGACTAACACCTGAGGTGTCCTTGAACCCTCTCATGAACACACTAGCTTTCACATACACAAACCACATGCAGACATATATGTCATACCTATAAAAAGTTTTGTTTTGGTTTGGTTTGGTTTTTGTTTTTCGAGACAGGGTTTCTTTGTGCAGCCCTGGCTGTCCTGAACTAGATCGGTAGACCAGAGATCCACCTGCCTCTGCCTCCCAAGTGCTGGGATTAAAGATGTGTCCCACCACCGTTCAGCCTATATAAAGTTATTTTAAAGCTAATTTTGGTCAAGCATGGTGATACATGCCTGCTGAGGTGAATACTAGCACTCAGAAGCCTCAGTTAGAAGCTGGCCTGGGTTATACAATGAGATGCTTGTCCCCTCTTAAAAAAAAAAAAAAAAGACAAGACTGGGAAAAGATATTCACCAATCCAACATCTGACAGATGGTTGATCTCCAAAATATACAGAGAACTCAAGAAGCTTGTCTCCAAAACATCAAACAATCCAATTAAAAAGTGGGGTACTAAATAGACAATTCTCAATAGAGGAATCTAAAATGGCTGAAAGACACATAAGGAAGTGTTCAGCATCCTTAGCCATCAGGAAAATGCAAATCAAAACAACTCTGAGATACCATCTTACTCCTGTCAGAATGGCTAAAATCAAAAACACCAATTACAGTTTATGCTGGAGAGGATGTGGAGAAAGGGGAACAATTCTCCACTGCTGGTGGGAGTGCCAACTTGTATAGCCACTTTGAAAATCAGTATGGCGACTCCTCAAGAAAATGGGAATCAGTCTACCACAAGATTCAGCAATTCCACTCCTAGGAATATACCCAAAAGAAGCACATTCATACAACAAGGACATCTGTTCAACGATGTTCATAGCAGTACTATTTGTAATAGAAACTGGAAGCAGCCTAGATGCCTCTCAACTAAAGAATGGATAGAGAAAATGTGGTACATTTACACAATGGAGTACTATTCAGCAGAAAAAACAATGGAATCTTGAAATTTGCAGGAAAATGGATGGAACTAGAAGAAATCATTCTGAGCAAGGTAACCCAATCACAAAAAGACAACCATGATATGTACTCACTCATATGCGGATTTTAGTCATAGAGTAAAGGATTACCAGCCTTCAATCCACACTGCCAGAGAAACTAGTAAACAAGAAGGACCCTAAAAGAGACAAACATTGTCCCCTGGAGAAGGGGAAAGGGTCACGATCCCCTGAGCAAATTGAGAGCATGGGAAGAGGTGGGAGGGAGCTACGAGAATGAGAAGGGAAGAAGAGGAAGGATGCAGAGGGCATGAGGGAGCAGAAAGGTTGAGTCAGGTGAGGAATAGAAGAAAGGGTATGTGATAGGTAGGGTTTTAGTTGGGGAGGTGGTAGGGGAGGAAGGGAGGGAAAAGGGAACTGGGATTGTCATGTAAATCAATCTTGTTTCTAATTCAAATAAAAAAAATGATAAAAAAAGCCAATTTTCAAAAATAAGGACTTGCACATGGATAATGAGACATATCTAATACCTAGTCAGCTTGAGGACAGGTGAGTCAGCAGAAATCAGGATGGAAGGGCATGGGAGGCCCAGAATCAAACTGCACATCTCAATAGTATACAGCAAAGGAAGTCCTAGCCAGTGAAAAAGACTCCTGATAGTAACCTAGCCAAGAATTCCCCCTTAATTTTCCACACCTGGAACTACTGAGGTTATCACAGAACACAGATCTGACCTCCGGAGCAAGTAGGGGAGGAGGGGTCCTGAACAGAAGAAATCTTCTATGCTTTAGGGTGGAATGAGTAGGTACAGTCTGGAAGAATTTATGTACGTGACACTTTCTATTGCCACACAGGGTGAGATAAGCCAGAAATTCACAGAAAAAATTTACCTGAGTTGTTTACTGTAAATAAGCCCAAGATATGTAGACTCATAGGACAGGAGTCGTCAGGGAAGCACTTGGAGTGAATATGAGCATATCTCAAGAGTCTTACACAGCACCTGAATGACTAACACAGCCCGTACCTTCTGCATGACTTTTCTCGCCCACCTCAGCTGCAAGATGTACCACTGTGCTACCGCAAAAGAGCATCGAGCTGCCCGGAAAAGCAAGAGCACTCGCTGCAGGATTCCAGACAGCTTTTGGCGATTATCTTTTTCAGCTTTTAAAAGAAGATTGTCACCATGTTCCTGAGGACAACAGAACAGTTACTATTACTTAAATAGCTATTTGGTATGTTACCAAGGCCATACTTTGCTGGAAACCAGAAGTTTATCTACTGCTCTTGCGTTTGTAACAAGATCACTATTATCAGATTATTTTTTACAGAAGACAAAATCAACCGGGCATTGGTGGTGCACGCCTTTAATTCCAGCACTTGGGAGGCAGAGGCAGGTGGCTCTCTGTGAGGTCCAGACCAGCCTGGTCTACAAGAGCTAGTTCCAGGCCAGCCTCCAAAGCCACCGAGAAACCCTGTCTCGAAAAAACAAAAAAAAAAAAAAAAAAAAAAAAAAAAAAAGAAATCAACTTTAAGAGAAGAGTGCACTGAGCTTACTTCACTAAGAACAGCTGGCTGGGGACAATACAACGGAGGTGCTGGAAGATACAAGTCAACAGGTACCAAGCCCCACAGCTTCTTACTGAAGTCCTTGGCAGAGTCCATCAATAGCTGCAGTGTCTCTGAAACGATATCTGCATCAGCCATGACTGATGCTTTCAGCACTTCTTGCATAGACCCAAATAGCAGATTAGCATCTTCTTCTTCAATGGGATCTATCAAACATGAACCAAGGCAACATTAGCCAAGTATGGTAGCTCATGGCCGTAGACCTAGCACTCAGAAGGAGCCCAAGGCAGGAGGAAGGGATGAATGTTCAAGGTCGCACTAGGATACATAACAAGATCCCATCTCCAAGATAATAGTAAATATAAATATATGTACAAAACAAACAGAATATAATTCCATTCAGCTGTTTTGTTTTAGGCATCGAGGGCCTCTTACATATCAAGCAATTCTACTAATGAGCTGTATCCCCAGGCCACAGTATGTTTTCCGCTGACATCAGTTTTCCTTCCTCTTGCCGTGCTCAGGATCAGACCCCAAGAGGAGCACATACCAGGCAAGTGCTCTGCCCCTGAGCTACCATGCCAGCTCGTCTGACATCAGTGCTAGGTGCTTCTATGACTAAGTATAAATAGCCTCAAATTTTTGATAATTTTGTCAAGGTATTCATATTTCTAAATATTCATAAGCTTTTATAATAGCACAGGTTCATATTAACCTGATATCCTTAGAATGTATATAAATAACACACCTGTAAATTGCTTATATCTTGAACCCTTTTCATTTTTTGCTTCGAAAGAGACTGGCTGACCTAAAAAATATTGTAGTTTTTCCTGGAAAATCTGTGCTGGTATCATATTAAATGGTAGGTTCATACCCTTTTTCTTGAACCTGAAATGACATCAAATTAAGAGAAATAAAATTTTTAGAAAAAGAAAACATTTTACATCAAGAAGTAAATGTACTTAAGAAAATAAGGAGTTACTTGCTTTGTTCACCCTGCTTACAGAAAGGGAAGGAAAAACAACCTCCAAATCCTATTTGGGACAAATTCCCCAACTATCTAATTGACTTTTATTTTTTTATTTTTTTATTTTTTGGTTTTTTCGAGACAGGGTTTCTCTGTGTAGCTTTGGAGACCAGGCTGGCCTCGAACTCACCGAGATCTACCTGCCTCTGCCTCCCGAGTGCTGTGATTAAAGGCGTGCGCCACCAACACCCAGCTCTAATTGACTTTTTAGGATATTACTAACATAAATATGCTAAGTAAATGCTTGAGCAAAAGTAAGTAAGCCACTGAGACATTGTCCAACACAGTAATCACTGTAGCAGATAGTTATTTGCTTCTACTTTAAATTGAAAAATCCAACTCCTTGGTCTCATTAGCCACATTTGAAAAGCTCAGCAGTTACTACACTACGCAGCAAAGACAAAAACATTAGAAAGAGGTCCTAACAGACAATGCAGAATGAAGGATTCCACATACACAAATATCAACAAGAAAAATACAAAAATACTTAAGATGGTATTATTATGCAATACTTGAAGCTTATCCTGAAATCCATATCTTGGGCTGGTGAGATGGCTTAGCAGGTAAAAGCGTCTGCTGCCAAGCTTTATGTCCTGACTTCAATCCCTGGAACATACATGGTAGAAGGAAAGAAGCGACTCCCACAACTTGTCCTCTGACCTCCTCATAGGCATTATGATACATATACACCCAAATGTTTGTGCAAGCACACACACACACACACACACACACACACACACACACACACACACACACATAAATAAATAAATACTTCAAGAATTCATACCTCACAAAATTGAGATCATGCTTACAGAAAACCTGGAAGGCCACACCAATGGAAACAGATGTCTTCCAGTCTCCAAGTTTATGTGCCAACCACACAGCCTCTGGAATCAGGCCACCAATAAGTAATAATTCGAGTGCATATTCAACTGTCCATACATTTGAGAGATTCTGATCTCTAACAAAACTGGCCGCTTTAGAGTGTTGTAGAGGAATAAGTCGTAGGGAATGCTCTGTGAGTGAATTAGAGAAAATGATATCATAATTGCATACATGTACTCCAACTCTCACCTCCTTACATAATTAAATTTCTTTAGTTAAAATTTCCAAAACAATAAAGAGACATACAGAATAAAAAAAATAATACCCTCTAGAAAAGTTTTAAGACTGAAATATGTGTTTCCTTAAATAAGCTATGCATAAAATATAAACATTCTTTAAAAGACAAAGAAACACAGCAGAATAGAATGAGTGCATTACACAAAATACGGTAAGCATTGTGAGATTGATAAATGGACATACATGTGTACCAGATCAGGGGCTACAGAGATGGCTCAGTGGTTAAGAGCACAGACTACTCTACCAGATCAGGGTTCAGTTGCCAGCCACATGATCAGCAGCTCACAAGCACCCTTGGGTACTGTAGTCACACGCACATACACACAAATATACACAGACACATAATTAAAAATAAAATAAATCTTTAAAAAAACATTGGATTACAATATATAATAACTGTGAACTATTCAGAAATACATTCCTATTTTTCATAGTAGATTATGAAATCTGGAAGATAGAGACTGCATTTATCTCGTTTTACATCATCCATAGAGCCCATTTTTTTTATTTCAGAAAATATTCAAAATGTATAAAATGCTTAATACATCAGTTTTCATCTTAAAAAATAAAAGGACTAGGGTCTGGAGAGAGTGTTTAGTCAATAAAGTGCTTTCCTTACACCCATGAAGATCTGAGTTTGAGCTCCAGAACCCATATTAAGGAAAAAAAAAAAAAAAAAAAAAAAAAAAAAAAAAAAAAAAAAAAGAAAAAGAAAAAAAAAAGGCAGGCATGTTTGTGTGTGCCTGTAATCTCTGGACTGAGACAGCAGAGGTACATTGATCCTGAGTTGCAGGGCCACCAATCCAATCTATGTGGTGTATTTCAACCCAGTGAGAGACCCTGTCCTGACTCAAAAACAAACACAAAGAAAAAAATGGGTAGATAATGCCTAAGGATGACACTTGAGGTGTTTTCTGGCCGCTGCATGTGCACACACGCATGGGCACGCGCACACACATGCACGCACGTGGGCTGGCATCCAAGTACAGTACATGTCATTCACAGTACTTGGGAAGCAGAGGCAAAAGGATTAAAAAATGTTCAAGGCCTTGGCTACACAGTGAGCTTAAGGCTTACATGGGCTACATGAAACCTTGTCTCAACAAGCAACAACAGAAAAGGGGCTGATAGAGCACTTGCCATGCATGTGCTCTGCTCAAGGAAGGCGGCAGGAAGGCAGGCAGGCAGGCAGGCAGGCAGGCAGGCAGGCAGGCAGGCAGGCTTATGGAAGGCAGAAGGAAGATGAAAGAAAAGGTAAGTAAATGTGAGCTGTGAGTAGCAGCTCACACGCATAATCTCAGCTAGTCTGGAGGCTAAAATAAATAACAATGGGTTCAGGAATAGAGACAAGCTTGAGTAACAATTTGAAACAGTGCAATCACACAGGATACTTACTTTAGATAGCATGTGTACAAAGCAAGGTAGGAAAGTATTTGTTTACCATATACCTGTTTTAATATGTAGTGGCGGAAGAACATTCACACTGTGAGGAGGCAGAATGCAGAGTGGTTCATTGGTGAAATAGGCAGCCATGAAACGGGCCATGCACTGGACAACTCTGACTGCTGCCTCAGGATGTACATTTCTAGTCACTGCAAACTCACAATGAGACTTCTCGGAATCTAAGGAATATAGCACACCAATAGGAGAGTCTCAACAAATTATAAAGATGTAAAAATTACTTGAGACAACCCCCACTCTCAGGCTCATCTAGTGTCATCACCCTGGAGTGCAAAATCACCCAGAAGAGTCTCCTAGGCCCCTCCCAGAACTGCCCCACATGCTCAGGACCATCCAGAATCACATCCTAGTGCATCCAGCTAGGTCAGCAAGTGCCCCAGATCCCTGCCCAGGTCCAGCTGGAGTTGCTGTTCACTATCCTGCTCCTTTTCAATATAGAGTTGAGGTATAGTGGTAAGCACAGCTGCCTTTCAATACAGTGCCTGAAGCCATAGCTAGAGCATTGAGACAGAGAAGGAATACAAAGGGACACTAACAGGAAAAGAAGTCAAATTATCCCTATTTGAAGAAGATAATATGATTATATACATAAAAAATACCAAAATTTCACCAGAAAACTTATAGAAACAAACAATATGTTCAACAAAGTGGCAGAAAACACACACATACAATCAACTTATAAAAAACAGTAGCCTTTTTATATACTGATTACAATACAACAGTCATTGAAGCACTCTCATTCACAATAACCTCAAAAAATCAACAAATATATAGGAATAAACCTAACCAATGAGGTAAAGAAACTGAGAAAGGCTCTGTAAGATGGAAAGATCTCCCACATTCATGGATTGGTAGAATACTGTAAAATGACAATCCTGCCAAAATCAATTTATAGATTCAACACAATTCCAATCAAAACAGTCATAATGCTCTTAACAGAAATAGAAAAAGAAAAAAGCACTAAAATTCATACAGACACACAAAAGACCTCACATAGTCAAGAAATCCTGAGCAAAAACAATGCTAGAGGGATTACCAAATCAGATTTCAAGCTGTATTAGTTACAGTAATAAAAACAACACAAAGAAGTCAAGTAGATCAACAGAACGGGATAGAAGACCCAAACCTAAGTACATACCATTACAGAGATATTAGACAGAGATGCCAAAAATACAACTTGAGGAAAAGATATCAACTTCAGTAAAGGGTGTGCCCTGGTTAGTTTTTTGTTGGCTTAACACAAGCTAGAGTTATCTAGGAGAAGGAACCTCAATTAAGAAAAATGCATCTTGGGTGGTAAAAGAAAGTATACTGAACAAGCCAGTAAGAAGCACTCCTTGTAGGAGGCGGTGGTGGTGGTGGTGGCACATGCCTTTAATCCCAGCACTCTGGAGGCAGATGCAAGGGGATCTCTGTGAGTTCAAGACCAGCCTGGTCTACAGAGTGAGTTCCAGGACAGCCAGGGCTACACATAGAAACCCTGACTTGAAAAGCAAAACACAAACAAAAAGAAGCGCTCCTCTAGGGTCTGTTTCAGTTGCTGCCTATAGTTCCTGCCGTTTTCCCTTCATGATGGGAAAGTAAAATTAACTGTAAACTGTAACATGAAATTAACCCTTTCCTATACAAGTTTCTTTGATCAGTGTTTTGGGGAGTAGTTTGTGGGGGTTACTTTTTAATTGCTTTCAGACAGGGTGTCTTGGCTGGCCTAGAACTTACTATGTAGACCAGGCTGGCCTAGAACTCAAGAGATCCGCCTGCCTCTGCCTCCTGAGTTCTGGGATTTTTTGGTCAGTGTTTTATCATAGCAATAGAAAGCAAACTAAGACAAATAATGCTAGAAAAACTGGATGTTCACATGTAGAAAAATGAAATTAAACCCACATCAATCACCCTGCTCAACAACCAGCTCAATTGGCTTAACGACCTCAATGTGAAACTGACACTGTTAGAAGACAACATAGGTAGTCTTCTACAGGATATGGGTGCAGGAAGGACTCTCTGAATACAATTCCATTCCCTCAGGAATTAAAGTCAACAACTGACAGGTGGGATTTCACAAAACTGAAAAGCTGCAGAGCAAAGGAAACAATCAAGTGAGTGACACAGAAGTTCACAAAGTGGGAGATAACCTTTGCAAGGAACTAGGAAGCAAGTGAACTTGTTTTGACTCCTTGAGAGAAGTAACTTTAATGACTTCTTAGATAAATCTCAAAGAACAGCTGTGCTGTAACTGAGACGCTGACATGTAAAACCCACATAGAATAACAGTCACTGTAAAGGCAGGACAATTTTTACGTATGAACTATTTTTTCTCTAATATTAATGCTACTAAGCCAGTGGGTTAGCACATGCCTATAATCCCAGCACTCATGAGGCTCAGGCCAGCAAGGGGCTAGTTACTGAGTACCAAGAAAATCAGAGAGAAACACAGCACGACCCTGTTTCAAAATAAAAAAAAACAAGCCAGGTAGTGGTGGCACACATCTTTAATCCCAGCATTTGAGAGCCAGAGGCAGGCAGATCTCTGTGAGTTCAAGGCCAGCCTGTTCCACAAAGTGAGTTCTAGGACAGTCAGGGCTATTTACACAAAGAAATTCTGTCTCAGAAAACCATGATAGATAGACAGACAGATTTATAGACAGACAGATTTTAAAAAGCATACCTGAGCAATCTTTATTGTCTTTTACAGGTAACTGGGACCAGCTGAGTATTTCTCTTACTAGGTGATCACATAATCCTTGAGCATCGTTCAAATTATAGCGGTAGAGGTGACAGTACAAGAGAGAGAGATAGTACCGCAACTGAAGAAAGCACATCCTTCTTCCTCCTAAAACAGCAAAGAGTTAAACTGATAAGCATGGTACCAAGGGACTGCTCTCTGGCTAGTGCCACAGACAGGTTTTTTTTTTTAAAAAAAAAAAAAAAAAAAAAAAAAAAATTTTTTTTTTTCTTATAATGGATGGTTGTGAGCCATCATGTGGTTGCTGGGATTTGAACTCAGGACCTCTGGAAGAGCAAGAGCAGCCAGTGCTCTTAACCTCTGAGCCATCTCTCCAGCCCCCCAGACAGATTGTTTTGTTTGTTTGTTTGTTTGTTTTTTGGTAACTGTTTTATACTTCAATAAAGGATTTATTTAAAAACAGGGCAGCAATTGGACATGGTGGTGCATGCCTTGAATCCAGTACTCAGAGGCACATGCAGGAGGATTTCTCAGTTTGAGGTCAGCCTTGTCTTCAGAGAGTTCTAGGCTAGACAGGACTACAAAGTGAGATCTGATCTCAAAAAAATAAAAATAAATAAAGCAAGTCAACAATACTTAGGTCTTTTCATTTTAAATTCTATTTTGTTTTCTTTTGGTAGATCCTGAGATGACAGCTAAAGAGATGCAAATTCTCACCATTGGACACAAAGGTCTTCTATTGATTTCTATCTCCAGTTCTGAGTGAAAGAACTTCAATTTTATTTGGGATTACTACAATAAGCCCCTCATGTGAACCAAGACATAATATTGTGCAAATATTACAGAATGCCTCCTTACAGGAGTTAACTCAGTTAGGCAGTGCACCTTCCCCCCATCCTTTTCACTTTCCACGTCAATGGTCAATTGCATAAATGTGATAGCTGGAGCACAGGCCCACAAAATGCCTTATTATTATTAGAGCAGAAGAGCTAAAGGAGCCTGAGCCCTTGGAGGTGGCCACAGGAACACCAGATCAGCTGAGTGCCAAATTCTGGTCCATTCCTAAAGCACTTTCTTTGAAGCTATTGTTAGTCCATCATTAGAAACCACACCCATGGCAATAGTTATAAAATATAAAATATATAGTTATAAAATGCCCACAGTGGACTCATTAAGGAAACTGTTTCCATCTAAAACTTCCTAACTCACTGAATCCTTCTCCTTTATCCAGTTAACCAAGTCTTAAAACTGAATTACATTAAACTTTTCTCACAAATCTACTCAACCACAATTTCCATTAATCAAACTTGCTATGTGTCTGGTAAACATAAACTACATTCCATGTGGCTTTGGTTCACTCTCTTCATCTGAGTAATGACCTTGCTTCTATGTACAAACACAACCCTCCATCTACAAATGTATCAAAGGGACGTTACTAAATGAACTATTATACATAAATATTATACATAATTATACATGAATATTATACATAATTATACATTATGTATAACTATTATACATAATGAACTATTATACATACTATTATATATGTATATTATACATATACATAAGGTGTTCCTGATGTATACAGGGTTCGTTCCCAATCAAACCATCATAAATAGACAATATCATAAATCAAAAAAGCATTTAAGTCAGCTGAAAAGATAGGTCAACATTAAAGAGCAGTTGCTACTCTTGCAAAGGACCTTGGATGGGTTCCTATCACCCACATAAAACCTCACAACACTCTGTAACTCTAGTCCCAGGGGATCTAACACCTTCTTCTGGTCTCCATAGGTATCAGGCATATACATAGTGCACAGACATACATGTAAAACTCTCATACATATAAAATAAAAATAAATAAATCTTTTTAAAATGCAATTATATACATAACCTCCCAAACTTCACAGTACACCATGGAATATCAGTTGCTACCCTTGTGATGACACAGCTGACAAGAAGCTGAGACACTGCTGCTCTTCAGCATTGCATACAGTGGTGATTTGAATAGGAATGCTCTCCCCTCCCCCGGGCTCAAGTGTTTGAATGCTTGGCCCAGAGGGAGTGATACTATTAAGAGGTATGGCCCTGTTGGAGTAAGTGTGTCACTGTAGGAACAGGCTTTTGAGGTCTCATATGCTCAGGCTATGCCCAGTGTGGTACAGAGTATCCTTCTGCTTGCTGTGGATCAAGATGTAGAACTGTAGTCTCCTTCTCCAGCACCATGTCTGCTTGCACACCACCATGTCCCACCATGATGATCATGGACAAAACCTTGAAACTGTAAGCAAGCCCCAATTAAATGTTTCCTTTATACGAGTTGCCATGGCCATGGTATCTTCTCAGCAATAAAACCCTAAGACACATTCTTCACATAGCATTACTTCTAGTTCAGGAAAAATTGAATACATATGGCTTTCAGGCCATCACAAAATTTAAAAGTTTAAGTTAAACTATGATAAATCAGGAACCTTCTGTATGTATTTGAATAATCTTTTCCTTATAAAATGTGTCTTGGGCCAATAAGATGGCTCTATAGGCAAAGGTGCTTGCCACCAAGCCTGACAACTTGAATTTAAGCCCCAGTTCCCACATGGAGGTGGGAGAGAGCTACAAGTCATTCTCTGACTTCCACAGGTATGCTGTAGCAAATGTGTATCCCTCCATACAAATAAATAAATGTAGTTTTAAAATACAGCCTGTAATCCCAGCACTCAGGAGGCAGAGGTAGGCAGAACTCTGAATTCAAGGGCAACCTGGTCTACATAGTAAGTTCCAGGCCAGCAAGAGCTATAAAGTGACACCATATTTTTGTTTTTGTTTGTTTGTTTGTTTTTTAATCTTACCTGATCCTACTGTCTTTTCACTCCATACAAGATCTTCCTTCATTCCTGTTCCCTGCACCATTATTGGCCTACCACCAATATTATTACATAAGCAAATCACATATTTGCACTTTGCCATTTTTTTTTTTTTACTTTTGCAGGCTTTTGGTTTCTCCAGATCCCAGAAACTTGTGACACCTTTTATGGTGTGACTCAGTTGACATAACTTATTTAGGATCTAAACACATGAAGAATGTATATCCTCTGTTAAACCAGGATTTCTCTGTGTAGCCCTGGCTGTCCTCAAACTCACAGAGATAAGTCTACCTCTGTCCCAAGTGCTGGGATTAAAGGATGTGCCACTACCACCCAGCTCCGTCCAGTTTCAACTCAACTTAAAATATCAGCCTCTCCATGGTTCTCTGGTGCTGATCCTTCAGGCTTAGACCGTGGAGAGGGGTGCTCTTCTTGTGCTCCCAGCCCACACAAGTGACTGTAACAAAAGGTCAGCTTTTGGTATCTCTAGTGCCTGTGCATAGCTGGGCTACAGCATGCACTGACAAAACACGAGTAGATGAAAAAGGGAAATGTGCAAAGCTAACAGTCAGAAAACAAATGTAAAGCCCGGGGCTCTGACCAGGCAGTAACTATACTCAGGCCAGGTACAGAGCTGCCACCTAGGAACTTTTATCATCTCAGTCACACCTGCCCTATATCATCAAAGACGTCATCAGTTTCTGGAACCTACAGTCCTATGTCATTACAAAATCCCCATCCAAATCATACTCAACTCCAACTCTCTGTTCAACCTAAAACTCTCTAATCTCTTAAAGGCCAGAAGGCTTAACTCTATGGTTCTCTTAATGTCTGTAGGAAGGAGGCAGAATATTTGATGTATAGTTTCCCATTAGTATCTGTGGTGTCTTTAAAAGGAAAACACATGTTCAAGATAAATCTCATTTCTTACCCATTTAACATTCAACTGCAGGTTTTATCATTAAACAAGGTAGGGGTGGGGTGTGTAGGAAACTTAACTAGAGATCATTGAAAAGATTTTAAAATCAAGAATAACTTAAAATACAGTACAGTGTTTCTGACAGTCAAGTTCCCTACAATCTGCATCTTACTGAACAGTAAGATAGCATGAACACTCTGAGGTTAAATATTTGTAATTTATGCAGAATATTAATTTATATTCTTACCAATATAGTGTTACTTGTTTTTAAGCATCCCTTACCTTTCTCTTGGGTTTCTTGTAGAGCTTTCTTCCAGAGATGAACTGATTTTTCATATGATCCTAACAGAAAGCACTCTTCACCTAAGGGTGATTTTACCCAACAATTAGTTACAGATGATTACATTACTTTTGTTTACTTAGTTTTAAAATTCAATAGATACAACTCTAGCCTGAAATTATTCTGAAAATCAGGTAGTGCAACTCATTTTGAAAAACCAAAGCCCAGTTAATCATTTCACATACCCAAGGAGTTAGAAACTGCTTATACAATACTGACCATTGATAGGTGTAAGTTCTAAGGCTTGATTCAAGCTATCCCCAGCCATCTGCAAGTTAGTCTGTAGATGACATAACAGAGTCTTGACAAAAGATACTTCATGTGTTATATTTTCAGTTAACTGGATGTCACCATCAGGAATTCTTTGGCTTAACTGTGCTCCATACCATAAAGTTTGTTTGTACAATAGTCTCCAAAGAGCAATCAATCTGTGCACAAAATTAGATAATTGTCAAAACCAAATTCAGTGAGTAATGACAAGTTTAGCTACATTCAGAAGCAACATACTGACCCAGTTAATAATCATAGTTCAGTGGTAAATTCATATAAGGACAAGATTTTCACAAATGTTTTATGAACCTGTATGTATTTTTCTTTTTTTTTTAGTAGTAAACCATAATAAATTTTTTTCTATGTGTTATTTTGTGTTATTTCTTTCTCTCCAACTCCTCCCTCCCCCTATACTCTCATCAATACTTTAATTGTGTACATTCAAGATCATTATGGCTGCCCAAGACCAAAGAAAAAAAAGTGTGTGCTTTCTAATGTTTGGGAAAAAAACCTGAAACAATTTTTGATTGACACATAAAATTAATATATAGAAAAAAATTTACATAGAGAGGCTGGAGAGATGCCTCAGGAGTTAAGAACATTTGTTCCTCTTCCAGAGAACCTGAATTTACAGCTCAGCACAACATTGGGCAGCTCACAACTGCTTCCATCTTCATCTCCAGAGCATCCAATGCCCTCTTCTGCCCTCCACGGCAGCGCCACCCCCCCATACATACACATAAATTAAAACAAAAAAATAAATGTTTAAAAATCATATAGCTATATCAGGGATAATCTATTATTCTGAATCAGACACTTATACATTTTTTAAAGTAACATTTTAATGCTGGGATCCAAATTGTTACAAAGTTTCCCTCTGGAGTGAGAAAGTATTCTGGGATTATTACTAACAGTTTAAAACCTTATAAACATACTAAAAACTACCAAATTATACACTTCTTACTATAGCATTAGAAAGTCAATGTGGTTTTAGTAATAGAATTACTATTCATACCTGTGACTTGGCTTTTGAACAAGATTTGTGACTTGAGGACAAATCTTCCAAGGTGAGTCCCAGGACCAACTTTCCCTCAAAGCTGAAAAAATAGGGACCATTAGTGAGTCCATCTCAGCTGTCTTCCTTCCATCAGCTGATGCTGAAATGGCCTCAGGCTGAAGTTTGCAGATGCCATCTAAATGGTCAGCAACCACTCGGAGTAAAGAAAGGCAGGCTAAAAGTTTCTCTGAGAAGAGCCCATTTTTTTGTTGCTGAGTCAAAAAAAGCTTTACAGTATTTGAGGTCAGCTTTATCAAATGGCCCACATCTTGTTTGTACCTCAAATCCCAATAATGGACTGATAGACACTGATGGAAAAGTTGAAAGACACAAAGGACCCACGTATTATGCTTCAGACTCTCATTTAAAAACAGGTCAGATTTCGGCAAAGGACATTTTATAAACTGAAGAACATAGAAAAAGTGAGTGATGCAAAGTACTGTGTAATTTAACATCAAGTTTTTTTCTGTTACATTTTTTGAAATTCCTATAGTCCACGCTGCAAGTAGTTTTTTCTGGATACAATGTAGTTCTGCAGTAGTTCTGTCTGTCTCCTTGGAATCATCCTTTGCATGAACTGTATCAAACATAGTTGCAAATTCCAATCTTCCTTCCTTGATAATGCTAAACCGTAGATCTTTTCTTTGGTTACAAAAAGGAAATGAGCTGTTTGGAAATTGTTCAACTTCATTAGCTTCTTCTCCTTCAGAATCCTAAACACGAGGGGAAAAATTATATTTAATACCATTCAAGCCTTATGCATAGGATCACTGTATTGTTCTCAAATTTCTATTTCCTAACAACAGCAACAAAATCAATGAATTTCTTAGATAAAATCAGTATGTACTAATAAGTACCTGAACATCTGTAGTTTCACTTAACTTCATTGTTTCTTCTTCCTGTAGAAATCTGGGGACAGTGCGATGTACTGAACCTTCCTTTCCTTGACGCTTTAACAGGCTAGACCTTAAGGAATCCAGTGATCGCAAGTTCAGCCCTTTGTGCTTTGGCTATGGGAAGAAAGACATGATTTCCAAGCACAAAATTTTATCTGTAATTCTAAAGCAATTAAAACTTCTAGTGTCAAAAGGACTAATATTACTGTTGGTACAGTTTTAACTTTGAAAGGAATACCAAAAGGCACTGTACCTTAGATAGCATCATACTTTGGTATGCTTCCTCAAGCCTCTGGGTTGAATCAATTAGCAAGGACCTCATGAGCGCTGTTGGAGTCTGGTCATCAAGGAACCGAAGGGATGTGACCATATATCCATCAGAAATAATGAGGTAAGGTAGCCGTGAGTGTGCTTTTATAGAAAACCTCTGTCTCAGAGGGTCACTATCAGAAGCTGATGAATCTACAGAATTATTTGAATCTTGAAATGTAAACTGCTGTGGTCTAGCAAACAAACATGAAAAGCCAATAATCAGCAAGAGAAGGATCTTAAAGGAAGTAATCATATTATTCAAAATAAATGGCAAAGAAACCACATAGAATGATGAGAAAGCAAGCAGATGAAACAGACATGAAACCATTAAGTTTGTATAATTGACTTGCAGGAAATACAACAGTAACCAAAACATGTCTATACATGTTTCTATTTTTTCCTAGATTTATTTATTATGACATTTATTATGCTTTGTTTTGGTTTTTGTTTTGTTTTGTTTTGGTTTTTCGAGACAGGGTTTCTCTGTGTAGCTTTGGAGCCTATCCTGGCACTCGCTCTGGAGACAGGCTGGCCTCGAACTCACAGAGATCCACCTGCCTCTGCCTCCTGAGTGCTGGGTTTAAAGGTGTGAGCCACCAATGCCCGGCTTTGTTTTGTTTTTAATTATATGCAACCTGTTTAAGAATTATAGCATCTTACTTTTATTATTAAAGAATTGAGTAGCTGGCTTTCCTCCTAAAATATGTAAATAGAGGAATAGAATTATAAGAATTAGAATTGGTACAATTGTTACAAAGGAGTTAAAAATAGGACATTTAGAGAATATAATGGTGACATTTTATGAGTTTAAAACTAAATGTCTCTCACATAAATACGTCATAATTCTATATTGGACTCTGATCACACAATTTATAAAACATCTAATGTTTTTGTTTTGTAAATATAAAAGGAGACATATTAGTATATTACAATTTTTTAGACTATAGAACTGTTAAAATACAGATTGGGAGATCTGGTTGATAAAGCATTTGCCTACTGTGTGCAAGGCCCTTAGTCTGACCTCTAGAATTGCAGAAAAGCAATTGAGGATGCCCAATCTATAGATCTCAACTATAGATTGCTTTTCATTAGCTAAATGTCCCACAATAGGTTAATTAGAGAAATGTAAGGAACCATTAAAAAACAGTGATACTGCAGACTGTATCAGTCTATAGAAAGGAAAGTGACGTGGGTATGTCCTTGATTGTGTTTAGCAAAATAACAAGGCCTAATTTTTAGTGACAGATAAATGCTACTAGGAAACTGTAATTTTGTGCAGTGAAAGTATTTTCTTTTATTCTCTTTACCCTAAGGTTAATTGTTTTTTATTTTATGTGTATGTAGTTTTGACAGCATAAACGTCAGTGCATACAATTTCCATGAGACCAGAGGGGGGTTACCCACTGAACTCAGTAAAAACACTTGCCACACAAGCCTGACATGTTAAGGTGGAAGCACTGAATTGCTTCCACATGTACACAGGGGCATACTGGTGCCCACACACACATCATAAACACTCACTCATACACACAAAATATTAAAATAAAATAAAAATTTAAAAATTAGTTAAAAAATAAACACATTTCATGTAATTTATCATATTTGAAAGAAACTAGCATATTACTATTATTATAAATACAAAATGAGTATCTTTAATGTTTAGAAGACAATACCCTAAGATGGTAATTGTTATCCTTGAGGATTAGAAGTCTAAGAATCATTTTTATACCATTTAATAATGTGTCGTGGTTTTCAAATTTTATTTTTTGAAATAATGAACATCTATCAGAAAAGAGAAACCAGTTAGAAAAGCCTTAAAATACTAACTTTAAAGGAGAATGTGAGGAAATTCCAGTAGATACAAATTAAGGACCAAAATCCATCCTCAGCACCCACATGGAGGTTCATGATGTCTGTGTGTGACTCGAGTCCCAGAGGATCTATCACCCTCATCTGGCCTCCTTGGGCACAGAATGCACAATATTCAGATATACATGCAAGCAAATACCCATACACATAAAATAAAAGATGAAGGTCAAAAAAAAAAGAAAAAACAAACCAAAAAACCTACAACTTTGACTGCAGGAATCAACAGTTTTCTCCTAGCATTAATCCTAGTTCTTGTGGCTAGAGAGATGACTCAGCAGTTAAGAACTTTTTCCTGCCCTACCAGAAGGCTGGAGTTTGATTCCCAGCAACCATGTCAGTCACAACCATCAGCTCCAGGAGCACCTAAGGCCTCTAGCCTCCACTAGCACTGCACCCACTTCCACACACAATTTTTAAGACTAATTTTTTGTTTGTTTTTGTATTTTTGTTTTTGTTTTTTTCAAGACATGTTTTCTCTGTGTAGCCCTAGCTATCCTGGAACTAGCTCTGTAGACCAGGCTAGCCTCTAAGTCAGAGATCCACCTGCCTCTACCTCCTGAGGGCTGGGATTAAAGGTGTGAATTAATTTTTAAAATAGCTCTCTATATACATCTAGCTATATACAGTAAATAAAGTTACTCAGCACTTATTTTATATGAGAACCACATATAATAATGCAGATTTACTTCATTTCCTCATTCCTATAAGACAATTACTGTCATCTTCATTTCACAAGAAAAGAACAATGTATTCATGTATACAATTAGGAAATATAAAAACTAGTATTTGAAACTTGATTTGTCTAACTAAAATTAAAATCCAAATATGGCTAAACTTTTCATTCTATTAGTAACAGTTTTTGTCCTTTGAAAAAATATGTTAATTTTGAGTTACTAAGTGCTACACTTTTAAAATAATGTCATGTTTTATTATCTTTTATAGTAAAGATAAGTTTTCAGTACTATTAAATATTTAAATAACTTTATACTTACATAGTCACAATGTCAAATTTTCACCAGGATTAAGCCACAAAAAGAAATAGGAAGAAAACTATAAATAATTAGGAAGAGATAAGAAACAGATATTGACATGATAGACTCACAGTAAAAAAAAAAATTTGGAGATGAAATTTTTTTGTAAAAACACACAATAAAATTAATCACCAAAGAAAATAAGTTCTGTAAATAAAACAATTCAAATGTCTCACCTATATGTTATTAGTGGATGAAGAGGAATAAACTCAGCTGGCCCAAATTCTATAGAGCAACCAAGTGTAACTAGTGTTAGCAATTCACCTAAGCAGGTCAATAAAACCAGGGAGCCACGTTTTAGCACACAAGCCAGAAAAAGACTGTCATGTGTCCAGCTGATGTCACCTACCCAATATGACCTAGAAAGAGCAAATGACAGTTTTAGAAAGGACTGGTTAGTAGGCTACTGTCACATAAATTTTGTTAATTTTACTTTTTAGGGGAAAAAAGGCTTACTTATATCTACTCCAACAATATTCCAATTAGAAGTTTACTCAGATTTATAAACAATTCAGAAATGAAAAAATTCCCAAAATTCTCAAAAAGTTAGTCAGCATCTTTTTTCAAGACAGGGTTTCTCTGTGTAATAGCCCTTGCTGTCCTGGATCTTGCTTTGTAGACCAGGCCTTGAACTTACAGAGATCTGCCTGACTATCTCACCAGTGCTGGGATTAAAGGCTCTTGCACCACGGCCCCACTGTACTTGGTAAATTCTAAAAGTTGCTTTATATAAAGAAAGTATGAAATACTTTTAAAAGAAGGGTAGAGTAGAAAATATACAAATGTATTTTCTTCTTCACTGTTTTTTTCTATCTTCTTAGGAATAGAATTTGAGTAGGTAGAGCAAAATGAAGTTTTGTAAGGGAAGGTAAGATGAAAACTTGAGAGGGGAGACCATCATTCATTCAGGAAGGCTGGGGTATTCATAGATTTTTTTTTTTTTTTTTTTTTTTTTTTTTTTTTTTTTTTGGTTTTTCGAGACAGGGTTTCTCTGTGTAGCTTTGGATCCTATCCTGGCACTCGCTCTGGAGACCAGGCTGGCCTCGAACTCACAGAGATCCGCCTGCCTCTGCCTCCCGAGTGCTGGGATTAAAGGCATACACCACCAACGCCTGGCCGGTATTCATAGATTTTAAACACCACATTCGTGGTGATTTTTGGAAAGCAAATGAGCTATAAGATGTATACAAGTACGCAAGTGGTGGCACACACTTTTAACACCAGCACTCGGGAGGCAGAGACAGGCAGATCTCTGTGAGTTCCAGGGCAGGCTCCAAAGCTACACAGAGAAAGAGAAACCCTGTCTCAAAACAAAACAAGAAAGTAAATGACATTCTTTATCTAAATATTATCTTTTTTTTAAATTTGTTTGTTTGTTTGTTTTTGCTTTTGTTTTTTGAGACAGGGTTTCTCTGTGACTTTGGAGGCTGTCCTGGAACTAGCTCTTATAGACCAGGTTGCTAAATATTATCTTTATGTAATTAGTAGAGCATCAAACTTCAATAACTGTCCTCAGAGATAAGCACATGAGTTCTTACCTGCTAAGTGTAGCTGGGACCACAGGATTCTTGTTACTACATCCTTTAAGACCACCACAGAGAGTAACAAAATTCAGTGTGTTTATAAATAGTAACTGAGTTGCCTAGAAGGGTGAAAACATGACATAACCAATACCATTACCTTCTGTGTGCATAATTTCCTAGAGGCTGAAAGAGCTGTCATTATACTAACAAAGGAAGTCATCGTTCTATGCCAAGCAGTACTGATGACAGCCCTTTACTCTTAAACTGTTCAGAGTAGCCATGCACTTGAAATCCTCCCACCCCAGCCCTGCCAACAGCTGGGATTAGCGCACATGCCCTCCTTTTCTTTTATCTTTTCACTTCTTACTTTGTTTTGTTGCATTTTTGACAAGGTTTTGCTATGTAACCCAGGCTGATCTTGAACTCAATTGCCCCAGTGTGCAAAATGCTGGGATTACCAGCATTTGTCACCAAGATAAGATTTTTAATTTTACATTTCTTCAAAACAGCTTTTGAAAATGATGACAGCTGATTTATATAGCTTTACCAAACCACAATGGACTGAAAATGTTACTTTAAAGAACATAAAGTAGCCCTAAGGACAGATGCTTGTTTCTGACCTTTGGGTCTCTCTGATTAAGAGTCACAGCCAGGGCAAGGCCATCTCTTGAGAAGGCCGAGATCAGAGCTCCTCTTGACTTCACAGACTCACACTTGGGAGTCAGACTGCACAGGAGATATTCCTGTTGTGCCCAGTGAACACGGAACGGCAATGACCTAAGAAAGCAATAAAATTAATGACAGCAAGATCCAACAGGTTTCTCTGGGTAGCCCTGGCTGTCCTGGAGCTAGTTCTGTACACCAGGCTAACCTCAAACTCAGAGATCTACCTCTGCCTCCCAAGTGCTAGGATTACAGGAGTGCACCACCACTGCCTGGCATGGGCTAACAACTTTATGTACATACTTATTTTTGATGTATCTGTTTTTGAGATGAGATCTCAATATACGACCCAGACTGGCCTTGAACTCCTGGGCTCAGGTGAGCCTCTTCCTCAGCCTCCTAACATACATGACCATGCCAAGCTCAAAAAGAGTCCGTCTAAACCTCAGTGGATGTACATATATGTATTACACATCAGTGACTGTTCAGTAACTGTTGGTAAATTTAGTTCAGTATTGGAGATTTCTAAGTAGAGCTATGTTCCATAATCAAACCTAAATATACCAGTTTCATCTAAATGTTTAAACATTTTTACATGACAGCAAACTACTGGAATAATAAAAATAGGGAGGAGAATGAGGACAATAGGGATATGAATATGATCAAATGAAATGTCCTAAGGAAAATTTTATTTTTTATGCAATTAATGTACATTTAAAAAACAGAAAAAAAGGGGAAACAGAACTCTTTTTAGATTATGTCAATTTCCCACATTTGTTTTAAGGGATAATTAAATAGGTGTATATAGTGATCAACCTGCTTATAAACTTGTTTTACTTTTTATAAACAATAAAGTACTGCTAACATAAAAAATTCATAAAAATCACATTACTTTCCTAAATCTTATTTAAGTAATACAAACTTTTAATATATTTTGCGCTATTTTATGGAGCCTTGGAATACAAACTATTTTACTATTAAAAACAAACAAACAACACTTGAGTATAGGCCTGGTGGCTCCAGCATTTGGGATGCAGAGACAAGAAGATCACTTGGGTCCAAGACCATCATGATCACATAGAGTTCCAGGACAGCCAGCGCTACACAGTGAGACTTTGTCCAAAAACATGAAACAAAACATAACAAATTGAGCATTTGAAGGTACATCAGTAAATCCAAATATCCTTGCCCCTTTAAAGTTTAATTCCTTTCAAAGTAATTATGTTCATTGTATCAAGACAAATATATCACAAACTATACTATCTCTTTCACGGTCTCCTGTCTCAGAGAAAAACAAAAACAAGAGAAACTTGCTAGATTAAATGTTTAAAAGTGAAAGGTAGAAGGGAAGGGTCTACAAAGCTTTAAAAAACAGAAATTAAGACCTAAAAATCTTAAATATACACTGGTCAATGACAATTCTTGTTTAAAAGTAGAAAATAAATAGGGAAATATTTACCTCACCTTACAGATGTAAATACATTCTCATACCACTGAATGGCCAGAAATGTTAACTTCAAGCATTCTCCAGAATAAAAAGTAAAAGAACACAGGCAGCAGTCGCCAAATAACTGCAGATAAATTTAATAGTTTAGTATGAAACTAATCAGAAAATACATTGATATATGAAAATATGTCTCATATATTTTCATTCTTAATAAATAGTAATCTAAAGACTAATTAATTTTTTCTTTGCCAGATAACAAGGCCCAAATGGAAAATCAGCCTAAGGACATGGAAGAGTTCTTTTGGGGATGGGGAGAAAACCCAGGGCCTTGTGCATCTTGTTTACACTCAAGTCCAGTTAAGAGACACCAAAGCAGGAGGATTTGTACTGGTATTCGTATAGGACTGTGGAGTAACTACTGACCATATTATCAATATTACAATTGATAATAAAAAATATAAAAGGGGCTATAGAGCTGGCTCAGCGGTGAAGAGCACTGACTACTCTTCCAGAGGTCCTGAGTTCATTTCCCAGCATCCACATGGTGGCTCAAACCCCTCTATAGTTGGATCTGATGCCCTCTTCTGGCGTAAAGTCATATATGCAGATAGAACACTCATACACATAAAATAAATAAATCTTTGGAAAAAAAGATAATAAAAATATTATCAACGTGACTCAAAGAAATTCTCAACATGCATTTAATGCTTGAGGACATAGAAATGCTTATTTGACTATAATATACAAATGTTATAGAAGTACTACATGCCATCATAAATACATTTGAATATTAGTTTGAAAAAAAATATACTGCCATTTACTGTTGCTGGGAAGGTTCCTGTAAAATAATCCTCTTCTTTTGTAGTGTTATATTATTTATATTAGAGTATCAATACTCTGGGTACTTACTGGGTCGGACCAATAACAGTTCAAATGCAATTTTTTGGGGGGGTGGGGGGGGGATTTGAGACAGGGTTTCTCTGGGTAGCCCTGAACTCAGTTTGTAGACCAGGCTGGCCTTGAACTCACAAGAACTCTGCCTCTTGAGTGCTGGAGCTAAAGGGACCAATGATTTTTTTTTTTTTTTTTTTTTTTTTAATGAGAGGCTGTCACATAGTCCAGGCTGGTCTGAAATGATCATCTTGCCTCTATTTCCATAGTGCTGAGATGGCATGTAACACCAAGCCTAACTTCAAAATACAATTTCCAACAAAGGTGGATTGGTAATAGATGAAAGTGCATACACAGATTTAAACAATGAATCCATTATATACTTAGAATTTAAGGTCTTATAGAACATTACCAGCTCTAGCTTACTATAGAACATGCACACATTTTATTTTAACTTGATTATTTAAGGCAAAGGTCTTGCTATGCAGCCAAGACAGCCTGGAGCTCAATATGTAACCCAGGTTGGCCTTGAACTTTGTTTAGTCCTTGCACATCTATCTCCCAAATGCTTGGATTGCAGGTATATACGTACTACCATGTTAACTATCCTAATCTGCCTCCCAAGTGTTTGGATTGCAAGTACATACTACCATGTTCATTACAAGTCATATTATACTAAGGGAAAGGAAGTCTTAATTTGAAACCATTTTGTTTTGTTTTGTTTTGTTTTTTGAGATAGGGTTTCTCTGTGGCTTTGGAGGCTGACCTGGAACTAGCTCTTGTAGACCAGGCTGGTCTCGAACTCACAGAGATCCGCCTGCCTCTGCCTCCCGAGTGCTGGAATTAAAGGCGTGCGCCACCACTGCCCGGCTTGAAACTATTTTTAAAAACATCTTTTCCAAACAGTAGTTTCACAACTGCTCTGACTAGGGACAAACAGGTACCCAATTATACCCCTGACTAAATAGTTTCTCAAATAGGGACAGTTCTTAAAGTCTAAAAGGTCTACTCCATAGTGTCTCATTTGGATTTTACCTCATTTTTGACAAAAACAGCATCCACTACAGCTTCTTTATCTTTAGAGGAAGGCAATAAAACGGCTTCTTCGGGTATTATTTGGAACCACTGACCGACCAATGGGAGGCTTTTAGAAGATAAGATATTCTTCAATTCCGAATACTCCCATAGAAGTATGCAGCCAGAAGATGTAATGAGCAGAACTCTTTTCCCATTTTCAGCTACATACAAGTATAGCCTTAAGGAGCTTGCTAATTAACACAAAACAAAGCAGAAAAATAAAACTTCCAAAATCTGAATTTTTCATAAAAGCACATAATTTTCTTTTCCTTTTTGACTTTTATGCAATAAGGTCTCATTCTGTAACAAGCCCAGGTTGGCCTCAAACTCTCTGAGATCCTCCTACTTCAGCATTCCAAATGCTTGCCTGGCAAGGTTAGCTACCCTTGCAATGAGAAACTCAAGCTGTGTTACCATTCAGGATGTTAAAACTAAAGCAATAATAAAAGTACAAACAACAACATTTACTACTTTAGGTTTTTTGAGACAGGATTTCTCTCTGTAGTTCTGGTTGTCCTAGAACTCACAATGTAGCCCAGGCTTGGCCTCAAACTCAGAGATCTGCCAGGCTCTGCCTCTGAGTGCTGGGATTAAAGGTGTGGGCCACCATGCCTATAATGTACTAGAGATTGAACTGAGTATATTTCATGAGCTAGGCAAGTTCTCTTAACACTGAGACCCACTCATAGCATCCTTTTTACTTTGTATTTTGAGATAGAGTCTCACTTGGCCGCTCAAGCTGACCTTCAGCTCAATCTGCAATCTAAGCAATATTTAGGCTTCTGGTCCTCTTGCCTTGGTCTCCTCAACTGTTTGGATTACAGATCTGAATCACAAAACCTGCACTGCTATATAACATTAGGAACCCATTATCACACGATAGGCATGCCAGGTTAATGAGGTGAAAAAGTTAATGAGGTGAAAAAGGCACCAACGAAATTTCAGAATGAATATTATATAGACAGAAACAATATGTATATATACATAAACAGAGATACATTATCAAAATAAGAATATGAAAAAAAGTCACTCTTTTTCCAGTCAAACAAAAATTTTTAAGATCCCTACCTATTGTAGCTTTAATAACTTCTTTAGGCTTTTCAGTCACTTGTATCATTTTCACACAGTCTTGATCTTTGTTCCACAGGAAAAGCTCTCCTGTAGTGAGAACCCCAGAGAGCCACACATCTGTTCAAAAGTGAAATGCAATTTTTAACATATTATCCCCCATTTTTTTTTCTTAAAATATCATAGTAAGCTAGCCTTTAGAACACAACAGCAATACTTAACCATTACTGGATATTGCCAGAAAAAAAACATCCTTCAACAAAGGCTGAAGACTAGGAATCTTCTTCTTTGTTCTTCCAGACAGCAAATTAATCTCATTTATGAATTTCTCATCCAAAAGAAAAACAGCTTCATTCTCCTAAGAGAAAAAAACATGTGAAGGACTTAGGTGGTTCCAAAAGTTAATTCAATCTTATCTACATAAATTACCCTAGAAAGGAAAACAAAATAACATTTAAGGACAAGAATAATTTATACAATAAATCTAAAGTAAATACTAAACTCATAACCTAAACATTTTTTATTCTGCGTTAACATTTGGGCTAGGGTGTAGCTCAAGGATAGAGTGTTTGTCTAGCAATGAGATCCTGATTCTGTATCTACATATTATATATCTAGTACTAGGAAAGTAGGAAATAATAAAATACCCGTTGCTAAAGTTACGGGGTAAGATTGATGGGGAATGTACTGTGTATATTTATCTTATAGATTGTTTAATAAAATTCTGTTTGGCCAATGAAACAGCAAGTTAGACAGGACTAGGAGTCAAAGAGGATCCTGGGAAATGTAGTTAGGCCCAAATGTGTATTCATTTGGGCCTAACTCAGGCAGGTGGCTGGCGTAAAGTGCACATGTGGCAGTGGGGCTCAGCGGTTTTTGGCGGAAAGATTTATTGTAACATAAGGTGTTCTAATGCCTGCATTTAAAGCTCTTTAAAGGCTAACACTCCAGAGCCATTTGCCAATTCTGCAAGCCAAAATTATTTAATGTCCTACTCGTGTAAGCATCTGTATGGAGAAGCTTTTTGTTTGGCTTTGGTTTTTTGAAACAGGGTTTCTCTGTGTAGCCCTGGCTATACTGGAACTTACTCTGCAGCCCAGGCTGGTTTTGAACTCAGAGATCTGCCTGCCTCAGCATCCCAACTGATGGGATTAAAGGCCATTAAACTGCCACCACAAAGCTGGAAAATTTTTTATACAGTTTGAATAGATTAAAATGAATATGGCTTTGGAAATCCATAAGCTAATGACTCAGACAGATCACTTTTCTTTTTATCTAGAAAAACTAAGGTCTTTTGGATGAAGTTTGTGGACCCAGCAACGACAAAACTTCAGAACCCGCTTAAAAAAAAAAAAACACAAATTACCAGGGCTGGAGAGATGGCTCAGTACTTAAAAGCACTGGCTATTCTTCTTGAGATCCTGTTCAATCTGTAGCACCCATATGGTGGCTCACAACCATCTATAACTGTACTCTCATGGAATTTTCATGGAATCTGATACCCTCTTTTCGTATGCAGACATACATGCAAACAAAACACTCATACACATAAAACATATAAGCAATGTTTTGAAACATTCTAAACCTTAAAAAAAGAAAACAAACAAAAAAACATAAATTACTCAGCCTAGACTTATTGAGCTGGAAGTACTATGGGACTTGGCAATCTGTTTTTTCATTATTTTAGTTAGTGTACAATGTATGGGTTTCATTACGAGGTATTTTCAAACATACTTGTCACACATATTTTGCTTGACTGGGCCCATTAGCCTCCCCTGTCCCTTTCCTACATCCAAGAACTCCCCCTTCTGCTTTATTCATGTTATATACATACATATAAAGTGTAGATGGGACATGAGAAAAGACATATCATATTTATCTTTTTCCGTTTTCCCATTACCCTCTTTCGTCCTGTCCACTTCCCACTGGGCCCCTTTTTCCTCCCACATGGTCCCCTTTCTACTTTCACATCCTATACGTACTTATTTTTAAATGCAGATTTTTTTTTTTGGTGGGGGGGAGAGCATTTTATTTAGTGAAGGCAAACATCATCCAGAAGAGACCAGATGGGCAAAGGTGCTGTGATAAGGGAGCCTAGGAGGAGCCACATAGCATAGAAATCTCACTCTGGGCAAGGCACTGGCTCGCAATATGGAAATGTCCTCAGCCATTCAGCACCATCCGGACAAACTCTTCATAGTTGATGCAACCGTTGCTGTCCTCATGTCCTGCCACCAGCATCTCCACCTCCTCCTCCTCTATCATCTTCTCCCGAAGTGTGACAAGGACATGATGGATTTCTGCACCCATGACGGTACCGTTCCCTTCCTTGTCAAACACACGAAGGCCTTCAACATAATCCTCATAAGTCCCCTGATCCTTGTTCTTGGCCACAGTCTGCAGCATGGGCAGGAAGTGCTCAAAGTCCAGCACCTTCACATTTATCTCATCACTTTTGGGGTTCCCCAGGACCTTCAGCACCTCAGCGTTGGTAGGGTTCTGGCCCAGGGCCCTCATCACGTCCCCACACTGGCTGTACAGGATATTGCTATCGAGAGTTCGGTCAAACAGCTGGAAAGCCTCCTTGAATTCTGCGGTCTGGTCCTTGGTGAAGTCATACATCTTGGCCGCTCAGCTCTGCGGGACTTTTTTTTTTTTTTAATGCAGATTTTTAATTTTGAGGAAAAGCATGCAGCATGTGTCCTTCCATGTCAGGCTTCTTTTGTTTAACAGGGTAATCTCTAGTTCACACATTATCCTTCAAATTTTTTTCTTTATAGCTGAATAAATTTCACCTAGATGATTTTGATGAGTGTAAAAGTTGAGAACTCCTGGGTGGGAGGATGGCTCAAAGGTTAAGAGTACTTGCTACTCTTCCAGGAGACCCGGGTTTGATTCCCAGAAACCATGTGGCAGCTCACAACCCTATGAAATTCCAGTTCCATGGGATCTAACACCCTCTTCTGGCCTCTTTGTGAACCAACCATGCATGTAGTATACTTACACACATGAAAGGAAAATACTCATACACAGAAGACAAAAAAAAAAAAAAAAAAAAAAAAAAAAATTGAAAGAAAAACAGAGAACTCTTGTTACAGGGAAGTTAACAGTATACTTTCTCACTGAAAATTTCAGTCTTTATGTCAACAATCATTATAAATTAAAAGGGGATTCTGTAGGTTTGCCCACTCTAAGGTGTGAATTATGAATTCATATATTATGGATGACACTCCTTGATTATTACTGCCTTATGGCCCACATCTCCTGTTCCAGCCCTGAGGTTACTTTAAAGACACATTGGGAATCACTCCACTGTTTTTATAGGGCAAGTGTAGGAAATTCAACTCCCCCTCTAAACATGAAATGAAAGAAAAAATTGAAAGCAAAAGCTTTTACCTAGCTAGACAGATGATTCAATTTTCTATAACTGCTAACTTGTACATTGTAACTTAACACACACACACACACACACACACACACACAGAGAGAGAGAGAGAGAGAGAGAGAGAGAGAGAGAGAGAGAGAGAGAGCACTGTTCAGAGGACAGGTGATCTTCTGAATATGATGTGTTATTTGGGTTTTTTTTGGGGGGGGAGGTTAAGGCCACAAAATATTCCTACATCTTACAGGAAAACACACACATTTAACAATTATAAAACCATTAATATATGAATAAAGAAAAACTCACTTGACCCAACCAGGAAACTCTGGGCCAGGGTTTTTTCTGCTTGATACTTGTTGATGTCAAAACTTCTAATCTTATCTCCATGTTTGTTGAGATACAAATGACCAGTTAAGCAAAGCCAGTCACAAGGTCCTGTGAATAGTAACAGTAATAATAAATAGCCCATACTATTTACAGAGAAAGTTACTTTTCTCAACACTGTGACAAATACCAGATTGAAACCACCTAAGGAAGCAAAGAAAGATTTACTGTGGCTCAGTTTCAGAAGGCCCAACTCACAGCTTGTTGGCCACATTCATTTGGGTACAATACATGGCTACAGGAGCAGAGAGAAGAGGAGTCTTCACCTCAAAGGAGAAAGAAAACAGGGAGTAGGGACACTGGAACATGTATAATTTTCAACGGTGCACCCCGCTGAAGTGACCTATGTCCTCTAACTAGACCTAAAGTTTCCAGAACTTCCCAAAATAGCATCAGAAGCTGGGGCCAAAGTAGTCAAGAAAATGAGTCTGTAGGGGACATTTGAAATTCAAATGATAACCCTGAACATTTTAATTTAGAATTTCAAGAACTTTTAATTATTTTCTAACAACTCATAATAATTCCTTTTTTTTTTTTCCAGGTAGGAAATTTTATTGTGTATTGCATCTGAATCCTGAATAGAATCAAAACACATTTGCTTTCTTTACACAGTACTTCTCAATAACATAAAGATAAAGTAGGAAGGATATTGATGATCATGTCTCCATCTGGGTTGCATGTCTCAGTGTAGCTGACTGTATTTTAGTACAGAAGGTCAGATACCCAGTCTTGTGTTCTTATTCTGACTTTGCTACTCTTCTGCCTCTTCCCATGACATTAAGGTAGATTGTGGGACTACTTTGGCCAAGAAAGTATAAGTAAGTGATGCTATGGATTTTCAAGGCTAAATCACAACAGGTGAGAAAATAATCTCTGGAGTTATTTATGAAACCCCTGTCACCAGGTTAGCAAACTGTCTTGCTCATCTAAAATGGAGGCCACCAAGTGGTGGTGGCACATGCCTTTAATCTTAGCACTCGGGAGGCGGAGGCAGGTGGATCTCTGTGAGTTGGAGGCCAGGCTGGTATAGAGAAAGAATTCCAAGACAGGCTCCAAAGCTATACAGAGAAATCCTGTCTTGATCCACTCTGTTGGACAGTTCACCTGAGACTATACTGGAAACCAAGCAGAGGGAAATCACTCTGAAAGGGAATCTCACTGACCAAAATAAGAACACTTTGAACTTGTGATTCTCCTGTCTCCACTTCCAGATGTCTGGGATTATAGGCCTGCCTTCACAACCATACCTGATTTTGTGGTATGGCGAACAGGACATTGTATATGCCCCAACCCCGAAGGCTACCCTGGACATGGTCTCCTGTCCAAGTGAGCCTCAAACTCCTTATAAGTCAAGGTTACCTTGACTTTTTTTGTTTTTTGTTTTTTCAGACAGGGTTTCTCTGTGGCTTTGGAGGCTGTCCTGGAACTAGTTCTTGTAGACCAGGCTTACCTTGAATTTTTAATCCTCCTGAAATACATCCTGTGTATGTGTGTGTGTGGGGGGGGGTAATATCTTAACCAATAAGCTCAGCTTCTCTCCATGATCCCTTCATGCCTTCAAATCAGTGCCAACTAGGAAATTTGCACACTACCAAATATGGTGGCCAGCACAAGGTACATACATCCTTGACCTTCTCTGAATCATAACTTCGGTGTGCTGACCCGGAGGAAACACTTGCCAAATTTGGCCTCTCTCAACCAGTTGATCCTTCAGCCCCAGCTGACCAGTATCAAATGTCCCAGCAAAGCAAATATTTCACCTGAGTGGTTCTTAATTCAAAGTGTCACTTGAATAACCCCGGTAAGAGTTTTGCTTTCTTCTGTGATTCACAAGCCAGGCCTCCATCATCTGCATTTCTTCCCAACATTCTGTCCTTCCAACAAAACAGTCCACGGAGCTCTGAGCACCTTTCCAGCCAAAAATAAAAATGCCACCACAATCCTCCCAAAAACATACAGTCAGGTCTGTCACAGCAGAACCCCATTTCCATTTTAGTTAAGATTTCTATTGCTGTGGTAAAACACCATGACCAAAAACAACTTGGGGAAGAAAGAGTTATAGCTTGTAGTCCTTCATCCAGGGAAGTCAGAGAAGAAATTCATGATAGGAATCGGAGGCAGGAGCTGATGCAGAGACCACTCAAGATTGCTGCTTACTGACTTGCTTCCCCTAGTTCAGCCTGCTTTCTTATACACCCCCAGGACTACCCTCCACCCCAAGGGTGGTACCACCCACAGTCAGCTGAGCCCTCTCACATCAATCAAGAAAATGCCACACAGGCTTGGCCACAATTCCAATGGGGGGTGGAAGGGCAGCATTTTCTCAATTGAGATTCTTTCTTCCCAAATGATTCTAACTTGTGTTAAACTGACAGAAAACTAGCTAACCAGTGCCAACTAACAAAAGGTCAGGTGTTCCAAACTAAAGATGACTTAATTATACAAGACAACCAAAACACCGATGCTACCAAGCGCCACACGACAGGCAAGAACTGAAGGGACAAAATCGGCTCAATTACGCAAAATACATAACAGGAGTAATCTCTCATGTCTACCGGGATGGGGGAAAGGATACCTTCATTTCACACAAATCTGAGAGTGCAATTTCAAGAGAGGCATTGGCTTTATCTGGAGTTTCTGCCACTGAGGATGCTCGGGAACCGCGTCCATTCCTTGCAGCTCTGTCGCCGGCTAAGGTCGGCCCACAAGTTTTCTCGTGACAGTGTGGCCGAAGAGTCGCCCGAAGGTCTCCCCTGGAGGTGTGGGGGCCCCTGCGGGGAGGGCGGCGCCTGAGAGGCCAGGGAAAACCGGAGTGGGAGGGCGGGGAGTCCCGGCGGCCACGAGGAAAACGGGGTCCCCAAAGCGAGGCGGGACTCGCGGGAACGCACTGCCTGGGAAGGACTCCAAGGCCGTTACCTCCCGCTGAAGTCGGCAGAGCCTCCAGGAATCCCGTGCCGAGACGAAGAGGCCGCGCCAGCCTCAACCGAGCCGCTTCCTGGAGACGCGACGGCTGGAGCGCCCCCACCGCGCATGCTCTGTGCAGCCCAGTGGGCGGGCTCCTAGGGGGGCTCCTAGATTCCGCCTCCCGGGCAGCTTCGCGCCTGCGTACAAAGATCCCCCTGCCAGCCTGTGGGAATAGTCTCCCTCCGCCTAGTTTGTCCTGTACTCCCGCTCCTCCCAAGGGTCCTTCCCGCCCTGCTCCTGTCCTCTTATCAGCTCGGTAGTCCCTTCTCCATCCATCGCTTCTTTTGTAGAGGGCCCTAGTTCGAGTCCCCATCACTTACAGGGTGACCCAACCCTGAGTGACTCCAGTTCCAGGGGAACTGACACCCTTTTCTGGCTTCCATGGGCACCAGGCAGGCCCACACGTGTTGCACACACATACATGTAAGTAAAACAGTCATAAAATAACAAGTTCAAAACACAACCTAATCCTCCCTAGAGGAGCCCTCTGTAGATCTAAAAGAAAGGCGTTGACTGCCATCTGTAAAGAAGAATATTGGAGAAATGTTTTCCTAGTGGGAAACTATGGAGCATTTCTTTTTTTTTTTTGTCATTTGTACAGATTTTATTTCTTCTCTTGAGACACATCTATTTAGTTCACTTGAACAATCTTCAATGGAATTACTTGTTTGTTGTTATTATTTTTTTTTACCTTTTAGCTCTTTATAAATTCTGGATATTAGTCCCCCCCCCCTTTTTTTTTTTTTTTTTTGGTTTTTCGAGACAGAGTTTCTCTGTGGCTTTGGAGACTGACCTGGAACTAGCTCTTGCAGACCAGGCTGGTCTCGAACTCACAAAGATCCGCCTGCCTCTGCCTCCCGAGTGCTGGGATTACAGGCGTGCGCCACCAACGCCTGACATTAGTCCTCTTTTATATAACTAGCCACCAAATATGCTCACCTATTTTTTAAGTTATCTCTTTGATCTTGTCTCCTTTGATATGCAAAAACTTTTATGTAATTCCACTTGCTAGTTTTAAATTTTTGCTTCCTGTGCATTTGGAGTCCTATCCAGAAAAAAAAAATCGTTAACTATAGCATTCATTATCTTTTAATTATTGCTCACGTGTTTTCTTGTGATCCGTTTAGAGTTTGGGGTATTGCATTAACATCTTTGACTCATGGAACCTCCTGTAGAAGCCCAGTATTTATCCCTACCATAGGTGTGGACTTTGGGAGCCCATTCCATATAGAGGAATACTCCCTGAGCCAAGACACACGGGTGTGGGCCTCGGCCCTACCCAAAGGATACAATAGACACTGATGACACCCATGGAAGTCCTCACCATCCAAGGTGAGCAGAAAAGATACGTGACAGATAAGGTTTTAGTTGGGGGGGGGTAGGGGAGGACGGGTGGGAGAAGGGAACTGGGATTGTCATGTAAAACAATCCTGTTTCTAATTCAAATAAAAAAAGTTGGAAAAAAATCTTTGACTCATTTTGAGGTTTTTTCACATGTGTTTATTTGTGTAAAGGTGCACATTTATGGCTCAGATATGGAGCCAACTTTCAAGCAGTAGGTTCCACCATACAGTTCCCAGTTCAACTCAGGTCATCCAACTTGGCAGCAAGTGCCTTCACCTGCTAAGCGGTCTTTCCCAGCCCTTGAATTATTGTGTAAGGCAGTGGTTAAGTGAATATCCTGTTTTCCCAGCAGCATTTGATGGAGTCTGTATTTTGTAATTTTTGGGTTTTTTTGTTGTTTTGTTTTGTTTTGTTTTTTGAGGCAAGATTTCTCTGTGGCTTTGGAGCCTGTTCTAGAACTAGCTCTTATACACCAGGCTGGTCTCGAACTCACAGAGATCCACCTGCCTCTCCCTCCCGAGTGCTGGGATTAAAGGCATGTGCCACCACCACCCAGCTCTGCCTTTTGTATGCTTTTAGCACCTTTGTCAAAGAATCAATTGACTGTAAATGCATGGGGTTATTTCTGAGTACTCCAGTCTCCTCCATTGTTCTGTGTGTCTGTCTTTATACCAAGACAGTAACTGTTTTGTTACTATGGTTCTTTGTATGTCTAGAAATTAGGTACAGTGTGGCCTTGAGCTTTTCTCTTTTGGTCAACATTAATCTGACTATAAGGAATCTTTTTCACTCCCATATGAACTTTAGGATTATTTTCTTTCTTCCTTTCTTATTTATTTATTTATTTATTTATTTATTTATTTATTTTTGAGACAGGGTTTCTCTGGAGCCTTAGCTGTCCTAGAACTAGGTCTTGTAGACCAGGCTGGCCTTGAAACTCACAGAAGTCTGCCTGCCTCTGGCTCCTGAGTGCTTCGATTAAAGGCATGCTCTATCACCAACCAGCTAGAATTATTTTTTTTCTAGATGTATGAAAAATGTTGTTGGTATTTTGATGAGGTTGCATTAACTCTATAGATTGCTTTCTTAGTTGGAGTTTTTAATAATAATATCAATTCTTCAAACTCTTCCATTGACCTGGAGCTCAACAATTAGGCCTGACTGGCTGGCCAATGAGCCCAAGGAATCTTGTCTCCTTCTTCCCTGGAAGTACAGGGCATCACCATAGCCTGCTTTTTATGTGGATATTAGAGGCTGAATTCACCCCCATGGTTGCATAGCAAGCCCTTTTCTCATTGATCCATACTCCCCCAACCTCATAAACAAATACATTACATACACATACACACACACAATCATTACACAAGTAGATTACCATTGATCTATATATCCAACCCGTGTGTGTGTGTGTGTGTGTGTGTGTGTGTGTGTGTGTGTGTGATACTTTTTTCTGTGTATGGTTGTTTTGCCTGCATGTATGTCTGTGCGTCATGTGCATGCCTGATGCAGGTGAAGGCTAGACGAGGGCATGGTATCCTCTACAACTGGAGTTACAGACAGTTGTGAGCCTCCATGACAGTGTGGGGAGTAGAATTCAGGTCCTCGGGAAGTCAGTGTTCTTAACTCTCTAGTATGTTTTTATATTTTAATCAGTGGCTAAATAGGTATGTTCACTTATTATCTTGGTTGCAGTTCTATTGCTATGAAGAGATACCTACTCCAATGTCACACCTCCTAATCCTTCTAATCTTTTCAAAAAAGTCTACTCTCTGATGACTAAAGTATTCAAAAATATGAGCCTATGAGGACTGTGGCAGTTTGAATGAAAATAGCCCAAAGGTCCATAAGGAGAGGCACTTTTAGGAGGTTTGGCCTTGTTGGAGTAGGCGAGGCTTTGTTGGTGAATGGGGTGGGATTTGAGGTATCAGACACTTAAGCCAGGCTTAGTGGCACACAATCTCCTCCTGCTGCCTGTGGATCAAGATGTAGAACTCTCAGCTTCTTCTCCTGTATCATGTCTGCCTGTGTGCTGCCACGCTTCCCACCATGACAATAATAGACTAAACATCTGAACTGTAAGCCAGTCCCATTTAAATGTTTTCCTTTATAAGAGTTGCCATGGTCGTGGTGTCTCTTCACAGCAATAGAAACCCTAAGACAGGAGTCATTCTTGTTTCTTTTTAAATGATTTATTTTATGTGCATGATGGGGAAGGTACTTCTGTGTATGTTTATCTTATTGGTTGTTGAATAAAGCTCTGTTGGCCAACATGGGAGCAAGATAGGTGGGACTAGGAGTTGAGGAGAATTCTGGGAAGTGTAGTAAAGAGAAGTCTTGTGATCCAGGCAGGAAGTGACATAGCAGGCAGACTCAGAATATAAGCAGGGACAAGCAGGAAATTGCTCTCTTCCTGCTACTCTCTTGTCTGGAGCCACCATGTGATCCCAGGAAGACAGGATGCATTCTGCCAGCATCCTCGATAAGTCTTTATAAAATATATAGATTAAGAAGTCCTAGTCATTGGCCAGCAGCATTGTACCTAATATTAATCTCTGTGTATTATTTTGGGCAACCATGTGGTGACAGGGCTCGGGCAGCTGGTGGAAAGACTTACATTACATGTGCATTTGTGTTTTGCCTGCAAGTATGTCTGTGCTCGGGTTTCAGGTCACTTGGAGCTGGATTACAGACAGTTGTGAAGTGCCATGTGGGTGCTTGGAATTGAAGCCTGGTCCTCTAGAAGAACAATCAGAGCTCTGAACCACTGAACTATCTCTCTAGCCCCCATAGGGGAGGGCATTCTTATTCAAATCACCATACTCGAAGAGAACTTACAAGTTATTTGATTACTCACCTATATGTTATGTCAATTGACAGTTTAAGTTTTTTTAAATGCTCATGTTAATATTTCCTATCATGCATTCATGTCTATGTCATTTCTAATATTTTAATCAGTTTTTCTAATTTATTTATTTTTATCTCATGTGCTTTTGTGTTTTGCCTGCATATATGTCTGTGTAAAAAGCGCCAGATCCCCTGAAACTGGAGTTACAGGCAGTTATGAGCTGCCATGTGGGTGCTGAGAATTGAACCTGGAACCTCTGGAAGAGCAACCAGTGCTCTTAAGCACTAAGCCATCTCTCCAGCCCCAGACATTTCTAAATTTTTATTATTGGTATTTAGAAGTACAGAGTTTGCTCTGTAATTTGCCCTATTCTGCTTATTTTACCACAATGTTGTGTGTGTGTTTCAATTAGTTTCATGAAGTGTTTTCATATCTTCTTTTACATTTATCCTTTTATTCTGTATTCACTTAAGAGTACATTATCTGCTTCCTGCTCTTCCAGAGGATCTGAGTTTTGTCCCCAGTAGGCGTGCTGGGTTCCCAGCCACCTGTAACTCCAGCTCCAGGGACTCCAGCGCCTTCTTCTGAATTCCTCAGGCACCAGAAGACAAACAGAAAGACATAGACATACACAAATAAAAAAATAAATCTTTTAAAACATGAAAGCCAGACATGGTGATACATGTGTACCTTTAATCCCAGCACTCAGGAGGCAGAGGCAGGCAGGATCTCTGAGTTTGAGACCAGCCGGGTCTACATTGTGAGTTGTAGGACAACCAGGTCTCCATAGAGAGAACCTGTCTCAATAAAGCAAAATAAATTAAATAAATAACAAACAACAGATAGATAAAAACAGCCTCCAACCTCTTAAC